GGAGCCAAATCTTGAAGTCTCACCTTAGCTTTCTGATTTGTCATTACTCATACTAATTCAAAAAAGATTTTACCTAAGTAGATCAAAGGAAGAATTAAGGAAAGCTCTGTGATTAAGACAGGTCTTTATGGTTAGAGTAATAACAAACCCTCTGTTCCTCCGCTTCACAGAGTTAATCTGATTTTGTTTCATCTGGTCTTGTGGAATAAAAAAATAAGAGTATTCCTTGCATTGTCTGATTGATCTCCTGTCCTGAGAAAACAAAAACACCTATGAAAGGAAAACTAGATATGAGTTGAGGCAGCACTGGGAAATACAGCTTTGTAGCTTCTGTACTTGAGGCGCCTCATGCCCAGCGAGACAAAGGAAAGGTGGCATCAGCAACCTGGTCAGGGCTATTTGCATTGTGCCCATCTGTCCCTTGAACCAGCTCAGGTAACAGAGTAGAAGATGGTTTAATCCCAGAAAACCCCCAAACAKCTATACAGTGCCTTCTAAAAACAAYAGTKTCCCACTCTGATGTAARTACAGACCTCTTCTTACAAATACTGAGTYAYAGACAATGTCTAATGAGCAAACATGCAGATCTATCCAAAAGRAAAGAAGGGAAACCAAAGGAAGGAWCATAGATAAACTGCATCAGTWAGAGAAGCTGAGATTCATCAYTACAAACCCAACCTTAAAGGGTCAATTTTTAGTTTGGACAATTTGTGGTATTTTAGTCAAGTTACAAATATTAGGCTTATAATGTCATGGTTACTGTTATTATTTTTTTTTTTTTCTGTATAATTATCACCTCTGCTTTTTTTCCTTCTACTGCCCTTTACTATCCCCACACATTTTCTAATGTTTTTCAGAATCATTTAATCTTTGTTAAATCTTTTTCTTGATTGGTAATGGAGGTTGGAGAGTCACTCCTAAATACTTTAACTCTTTTGGAAAGTTAAGCACTCAGAAAACATGGGGCATGATCTGACTTGGAGACTTGGTTTGCCATGTCTCAGCAGAGTATCGTTTAGGTAATAAAAATTCCTCCATAACTCTGACAGAGTATTTCACTTACAGAAAAAGGCTGCTGCAGGTCATGGGGATAAGGCAATTCATTCTCTGTCACCCATTCCACACAGATCCTCTGTCTGCTGGGTGTGTAAAGAGGCTAACTGCATTCCAAAGGAAGATTTTAGATGTGGACACACGACCATGTGCTGTAGACTAGGACCAGTGGTTCATATCCATTAGACCGGCAAAAGAAAGCAATCAGATGGCAATGATTTTCAATCACTACTGGTGCAGGGTTAGATTCAAACAAGTGACCTGGAGGTGAAATGTTCCACATCCCATTACTGATCTTCTGAATTATTCTTCCCCCACAGATGAAGCTTGACGCACATAAAAAAATAGATTGTGAGGATTTGCAACAGAAAAACTGAGACAGTGGCTCATAATAGATGTGGATTTTGTTAGCCCTTTATGCCTAGGCAATATTGTTATGGTACAATGATAGGGCAGAATTATTGACTGTATCTAGTGGGTCATAACTGAGTAACAACACACAGCATACCCAGTTTATGAACTAATTCAACTGCTTTACAGAGTATGGCAATTTTTCTTTATATGAAGGAGCAGCTTATTAGAATTTCTATATTTTGGAACTATTTAAAATATGGAATAGCTGACAAAATCTGCTTCCTCGAAGCAGAATTTATTCCTRTTTTTTTTCTCTCCTTATACACTTTCTCCAATAACTTACCAATGGATAGAAACATTTTTCAGAAAATTTGCCTCTGGRGTGCAACCAAATCTGAAGAGGAGAAAAAGTGCTGTATCTCATGGAGGATTTCATAAGATAAAAGAAATGGAAGCAAATGAAATTCCAAAATAAAAAGTGCTATAGAAGATACTTTGGGGGACTGAGTTTAGTAAAAAAGGTAAAAAAAAAATCTTAGGCAGTTTCCTTCGCTCACTGGACAGTTATCTGCCTCATTGGTGAGGAATACTAACATTAAATGCAAGATCTGAGGCAAAACAAACACTTCTAAGGACTTGCATCATKCTCCCTCTTCCCTGTCTCTGCCTTTCTGATGCTATGAAACATTTAGCAGCTCCCACCAGGAYTCACCCTCTCCAAGCCAGCAGCCTCCAGTCATGGACCAAAGRTGCCACCAGTGCCAGACCATGACAGACCGGTCCAACTTCAAACAGGAGTCAACAGCTTTGTGTTTGCCTACGCTTGAGATAGTTTGACTCTTTCAGCACAGGAACTTTTGTAGTTTTGTGGTGTTTTATGTTTGCCTACCAGCTAAACAGAACATTT